TAGTCAGTAAATGAACTGTCGTTAATTAACACATAATAACAATAAAATTGCTAAAAGGAGCTGAGGGTTGCCACAAATTAACGAAAGGTTCATTGGTACCTGTCGTTAATAATAATATCTAACTATAGGTCACTTATAACCTATCGTCACTTATGAGTTGAGGGTTGCCTCAATTGTCATTTAATAATTTCAATTAATAATTTAGTTATGCGATATAATTAAAATCAAAATATTAATTAATATTGTATATATATATATATATTAATAATATTATATACACTACATTTATAATCATGATAGTCAGTAAATGAATTGTCATTAATTAACCACATAACAACAATAAAATTACAAAAAAGGAGCTGAGAACAAATTAATGACAGGTTCATTGATACCTATTGTTAATAACAATATCTAACTATAAGTCACTTATGACCTGTTGTGAGATTTTATAAATGTAACTTTTAGATATAATTTTTATTAATATCAATTATTTATATTAATAATATGAATAATAATAGAATTAATTATTGGTCTACACATATGTAACAACGACAGTTTTTTTGTGTACCTATCGTTATAATATCACAATTTTAACTATTTAGGCCTATAATCATAGTTACTGCTATAACTGTGGGGAAAATGATGTCGTTAAATTTATATTTTGTACTAGTGACTTTTCTTCTCTGAACAAATACTTGACGTTTATTTTTAAATAGACGTCAAGTATTTGTCGATACTTGATGCTTATTTGAAAACAAACGTCAAGTATTTATGACATTTTTTTAAATAAAAGCAGCCCCTACATAAAAATACAGATACAAAACAAAACAGGTAGCCAGCAACTAGAAATAATATAATGAATGTTTCTAATAATATTTACTATCTAGGTAACATTAAAATTCCTATACTTTTAGCCTTAAAACCTAAAAAATCTGTACTTAGCTTATTTGCAAACTAAAGTTTCAAAACTAAGTGGCCTATTCCATAAAAATTGGCCAAAAAATGTATAAATATATATACATTTACACATAACTAACTATTGTGCCAACCTAACCACTGTCGCTACCTACATATTGAAAACACATTGGGCCACCTCTTTAAGAATTTTTTCTATATGTGCAGCTATATAACGAACACAGTAGATATTCTCAAAGTACTATAAGCAAATAGTCATAACAATTTCAAGTTAATAGATAGCTAATTAAAGTTGGTTAAAATTTATAATTGAAATGTAATTAAATTTAATATATATACCTTGTAAAGTGCTAATAAGACTCTCACAGACATTTTTCTCAATATGCATAATATAAAGAAAATATCAAACATCTAAGGTGGTCCAATAAGGGAGTTCAAAGAAAATAGATCTCTTCTTCCATTCGCTTGTCCCAAGGGCCCTTACAAACGGTTTGTCGAATTCAATATCTAAATCCTTGATCTTCTCAAATAGCTCATCACCTGTTAATGGCAAAGGTGTCTTACCTTCTTCTGGATTTCCATTGAATGCTTTTCTCAACTACCAATAATGATGTTTTTGGTGTAAAAACCTATGATGCTCGATGTAAACATTCTTCATCCCATGTTGAAGCCTCATAGAATGTGTTCCCTCTTCACAAATAGAGCATCCAAGTTACCCTTTAATGCTATACCCTAATAGATTACCATAAGCAAGAAAGTCATTGATTGTACCAAAGAGCATAGCTCTTAAATTAAATCTTTCTTCTCTATACCCATCATATACCTCTATACCTGACTCTCACATGATCTTCAAGTCATCAATTAGAGGAGCCAAATATATGTCTATATCATTCCTAGGTTACTTAGGTCCTGTAATTAGCATGGACAACATCACGTACTTGTGCTTTATACAAAGCCACGGAGGAAGGTTATAAACAACCAAAATGACTGGCTACGTGTTGTGGCTACTACTTTAAAGCCCATAAGGATTTATCTCATTGGTAGACAAAGCAAGGCATAGATTCCTACTCTCTTCCCCTAATTCAGGGTACTCATAATCAATCTTTTTCTATTGTGGAGAATCAACAGGATGACAAAGCATGTCATCTTTATCCTTTCATCTGCATTCCATGTTAAGCTTTTCACAACTTCTGCATTGCTATACATACGTCTAAATCTAGGCATGATTGAAAAATACCATAGTGCCTTTGCCGAACTTGATCCATTCTGCTTGTACTGTGAGGCATTACACTTTGGATATTTAGTTAATGACGCATATTCATTCTAAAATAACAGGCAATCATTAGGACACACGTGTATCTTTTCATAACTCTTGCCAATTGATCGCAGAAATTATTTTATGTTATGTGTTCGGCAAGGAAGCTTATTTTTCTTAGGAAGTAATTCTACATTCAAATACCCAAGCAACTTGGTGAAGCTCGCATCACTCCATCTTATGTTTTGCCTTCATGTTGTATAATTTAACACTGCTAACAACTTTGATGTACTATAACTAGCGTATACAATGTCTTCGCATCTCTTTTTAATTTCTCAAACATTTCTGGACAATCCTTGAGGTCCTCTTCAATCACTTTAGCCATCTAATCAAGAAAATCTTCCTTAAATGTGCATGTGTCAAAATCATCAGGAAATGTTGCACAGCTTTCACTATGCTTCTTGCTACAACTAATTTCATCCCTTGTCTCACCATGCATTGTCCAATACTTGTAACTTTGATCCATCTCATTAATCACTAAGTGTTCTTCACAAGTATCTGGGCTAACTCGTTTCACAAGACCGCACTTTAAACACGAGCAAATAATCCTAGGATTCACAGGCTTAACTGCAAACTTAACAAATTTGCCACCCCATCCTAATATTCCTTAGATAGATGATTAGTAGACATCCATTCCTTATCCATAATTCCTAGAAAGATTAAAACGAAAATATGACTAGTAACTTTGACTACTCCTAGATAGTAGAAGAGTTAGATACAAGGATTAATCAGTTAATAAGTCATTAACCACATGTTTGCACATTCCCTCTTTAATCTTGTTTAAAACTAATAATTACATTTTAATGCTAACCATTTAAATAATTTTGACAGCATAACAACTTAAAAAAGAGAGTTTCCTGAGCTTTATGCCCTCTCTTTATTAATCTAAATGATATAATAGCAGCATCTACAACAACAATCACATAAAGTTATATCCAAGAATAATTTCAAAAAAATTCAATAGTATATACAATGGCTTAAAATGAGTATTACTAAGGCTTTATGCCTTTACAAAAATCAAGTTATCTATAACAAGACTATATATGATCAAACAACAATAATAGAAATATTAATAAGATGCCCAATTTTAATTAAAATCATATAAACTACATCAAGCATTATATATATATATATATATATATCAATTTAAAACCTCAAAATATTTTATGTAAGCCAATTTTCAATCATTTAAAAAACTAGTAATATGAAAATTGATAACTCAAGGAATAAAAATCTAAACTAATCATTCAATTATAGAACAAACACAATTAAGCACCCATAACTCAAAATTTCAAACACTTACTAACAAGAAAAATAATAGAGCTCAAAATAATTAACACAAAAACTACTTATTGCGTATGAAAATCAAAATTAATAATCCATAGATTCAAAATGAAGATTAATGATTCAGAAAGTAAGAACTGGCCTCAACAAGAAGAGGGAAAGCTAAGAATGTAGAGAAACAAAGAGATGAGGATCTTGGAGAATGGTGGAGGCTGAGAATCCATTCACACAAGCACCCATGAGAATGTAGAGGCCGAGAATCAAAAACCCCCTAAGAATCAAGAGTAAAAATATGTTTTTAGCAGTTGGACTAACAAAAATGAGTTTTGATGGCTCTGGGTGTGTTTTCAATAATGAAGGATTTGTAGAAATGCAAAGCGAAAACTATTCTGGAGGATAATTTAAATAATAACACTTGACAATTATTTGATAATAACTATCAAGTATTACATTCTTGACGCTTGTTTTGAAATAATTGTCAAGTATATCATGGACATACTTGACAGTCATTTCAAAACCAGCTTCAAGTATGTGTATAATTTTAATTTTTTTTAATTTATTAATTTGACATTTGTTTAACCAAGACCATCAAGTATATTTCATATTTATTTGATAGTTATGTTTAAAAACTGTCCAATATATATACTTAATGGTTATTAGTAAATAACTGACAAGTATATGTTAAAATATTTGATGCTCTTTCAGAAAAACCGTCAATTATTCCACCTTTTATTTGTCATTTTTTTTCAAATAAGTGTAATTATAGAGCATCAACTATTCCTTTTTTATAGTAGTGAGAAGAACAAATAAAGACCCTATAAGGAATATAATTACAAATAAGGACCACAAGGTTTTAACTAACAATGAAGATTTTCGTCCTTTAGTGTAAAAACTAAAATGTTTATTGACAATTACTCCCTCTACTCCCTACTATAAAGCACATTCAACTACCTCTCTAGAACTAATAAATGGTAGTTAAACTATTCATTTTGTGTGAAAATATATTAAACTTTCAATTTTACCCCTATTTAAATAAAAATTGTAATTTTCATTGCATTTTCTCTCAAAATTAATGAATTTAAACATGGATAATATTAAAAATAAAAGTAATTAATACCCATAGTAAGTTCTAAATTCTATGTTTCTAATACATAAATATACACTATTTAAAAATTCATCTCTCTACCCCTTCCCCCGCCCTACCCTTTCGTCCTCTCCACCTTTTTAACTTTCAATATCTAGGGTCTCAAAACCCATGCTTTCCCTCCCTCAACTTTTATTAGATTAACTTAAAAATTTGCCCCTAATATTTTCATTCAAATGCAATTGGTATCTTGAAATATTTTTTGGCACAATATCATTTGAGCATTTTTAAAATTGATATCCATGCATGCTAGCTAGGATACTTTTACTATTTCCATATGTGCAGTTTTCTCCCTAATCTTCTTCACTTTGCCATTGATTTTTCGTGCCTAGACGACCACATTCAATTCATCACCCTATCTTCATAGTCACGAGGCTCAACATTCTCTCTATCTGTTTCTTCCTCTTCCTCCTCCTCACTTTCGTCATCCTCACCATCATTCTCATCATCATCCTCATCATCAAGCCCTAGTTTGAGATTCAACAGCACATCGTCGTGCCCTTCATTGGAAAATTTGAAAATTTGTTTGTTATAGAAATTGAACCCTCTTGGCATCAGATTCTAAGAAGAGCTCAGACTACAAACTGTTTTAATTGATATCGAAGATGTGTCTGTTATAGATATGCTTATTGCTCTTTGAGTAGTGAGTAATAAAATCAGATAGGATCTTCTTGGTGTTGTCGAGAATCATCAATTTTTGAATGGGAAGATGCAATTTTGTTATTATATCAATATTTTTCTATGTTCCTTATTTTTCATTCAAGTGAATGGGACTTAGGTTAAAGGAAATGAACAAGATGATTATTTTGTAAAGTCAGTAACACGTAATCATGTACAAGTATGATGATTATTTTTAAAAAAAGAGACATGAAATAAAATAATGTAGCCTAACTTAACATGTAACTTTTTCTTTTTCCTACTTAAGCAAGAAGAAAAATTGTTAGGGCCAATTAGAGAATGCAAACAACACACAGGCTGAAAAAAGGACAACCACAACTAAAAAGGTAACCATAACTTCGTTAAGAAGGAAATCATCCAGCCAACACTAAAATGTAATTAGAAGCACATTCTGTTGTACATTTTATTTAAATAATTTGTAAATTTCTTTTCTTTCAACAAATGTAAAATAAATGGACTATGCAAAATAAATGAAAGTTTTGTTATAAATAAATAGACTTTGAATGTTATTTATAGAGTTTTTATTATAAATTTTATATTGGTAGCTAGTAAATTTTTTCTTCTTCAACATCCATAAACCATGAGAATTATGTGAAATTAACTGACATTTTGTTACTAATAAATAAATTTGAATGTTATTTATGGAGTTTTTGCTGTAAATATCATTTAAATGACTTGTGCATTTCCTCTACTATCACAAATGTAAACCATATGGATTATGTGAAATGAATGAACCTTTTTTTGTTAAGAATCGGGCTTTGAATGTCATTTACGGATATTCTATTGTGTATTTCACAAATGAACAATTCCATCTTTTTATCAAAAAAACTTAATTTCAAAAGAGACTTTTAGGCTTATAGAATTATATCAAATTTTATTGGGCATTTAATAAAAATATGTCGATTATATTTGATGGGCCTGCAATGAGATTCTCCTAGCAATACAGTAAAGCTGTTTTTGTTTTTCATTTTATGTTTTTAATTGCTTTTTATTATGCACTTGAGGATACTCTCTTTTTTCCTTGAATTAATGGAGGGCATAATAGTCATTATTGGCACAACTTTCGTGCTCCTGTGACGGTGAGGTATATTATCTCTTTTACTCTCACTCACTCATTCTTAGCTTCGTCTTCATCTCTTCATATCTGGCATTCATCTGTCCCTTTCACCGAAAAAAAGAAATGCTTTCTGTATGTAATCTGGGAACTAGTTTGAAATATGAACAGGGAAATTCGAATCGTATGCGATCGTTAAGATTGGTGTTGGTTGGGCTTGCTATGATTATGGTTTGTCTTCTAGCCTTAGGATCGTTTTAATTGTATAACAAGTCTCATGCTTATCTTCAGTACTCTCGAACTTTATCACTTCTGGCGGTTTATTTTGAGGAATCAACTTTATCACGTGAGTCTATTTCTATGCTCTCTGGATTTGTTATCTACTGAGCACTAACAATGAACATCGTAATGCTAATATGTATAGAGTTTGATTGGACTCATAATTAAGTTATTGTTATGCTGATACCCATCCTTTCTCATTTATTGGGCACATTCTAAAGGTTATTTGGTCCTATTTATAAATCATGTTACAGTTTTTTAAGTAATATTTAAAATATATTTATAAAATTATTTTTCATAAGAGAGGTAAAATAACATGATATTACTTTTTGAATTTTTTATCAGGACATATTTAAAATTTTATATACTTTTATTCCTTTTACTTTTTACATTGATATTGGTGAGATTGGTGAGAATAATTTGTAAAAAGAACCAGAGGGAGTACTTCACATCATCCAATTGTGTTTTTTAGTCATTTAGTAATCTCATGCCCTATTTGGTAACAAGAAATTGGGATGGAGAACTGGAATTAAAAAATCAAGTTGCTTAGTATAGTGGATCTCATTTCCTAGTAGAATTAGGTTGCATCAAATTTAGGGGAAATAACTTCCACATGTTCATGGAACTCAGGCCACTTCTTTTCTCACTTTCTTCATAAAAAATACCCACTTCTATGTACGAACCAAGTATGCTTTCAAACATTATTTCCACTTCACTTTCTCTTCCACTTCTACTTCCACTTGCAATTTGAAAATAGTGCTAGCTGTTAAAAAAAGTTCCCTAGAAAATTATAGAAAATGACATAAAAAGTTATAGGAAAAGTACCAATAAGAAAATTAATATCAATTAAGTTTTCAAAATAGTATGATAATTTATAACTCTTCCTCCAAAATTTACAAATAGTGTTATTAATAAATGAACACATTTTTTACTCTAGTTATAAGTTTTTAAAAAAAGATTTACAAATTTTGGTGGAACACTTATAAATTATGCTATTAATTATTTTTATAAGGTATTTATGTGTATTTTTTCTATAATTTTTGAAGTCTTTTATAGCAATTTTCAAGTTAACTAACAGTTAAAACTAACTTTTCTAATGGCAAGGTGCCCAATGCACCATTTTTCAAATGATGAAGGAAAAAATCAAACCATATCTAAATTTTAGGACACTAGACGCTTTCTAATGAATAGTTGAAGGGCACTTCTTCTTCGGATTATTCTCTTGCCAAGCGTGTGATTTCTCTTGATGACGTGGATTTTGGTGAAGATTATTATATGAAAGCCTTGGAAAAGTTGAAGAAAGACCCTGAATGGAGAAAAATTTTTCTTAGCATGGAACTTAGCAGGAAAGAGCAATGGCTATATCGTGTTTATTGGGGAAAGTTATGAGTCTTAATTTATTTTGTTATTGAACTTCACGATTATGCATGTCATTAAACTTGTGAATTTGTGTTGGAGTTCGGATTTATGTGCCTTTATTATGATATTGAACTCTATGGTTATGCCATTGAATTTGCGACCTCGTGTTTTTATTCTACTATGGAACTTTGTTTATTAACAATATTCTGTTTGGATCAATGCAAGTGTGGATTTTATCAAATTCCTCATGTTGATACTAAAAAATTCATAGATTCATTCATTTTTTATTATAATTTTCTTGTAATTTCAATTATTTTATACTTTATTTATTTAAAATTTCAGTCATTTCAAGCATATTGTTTTCTTTGTGATTTTTACTATCAATATCTATACCACTCTCACATCTTTAATTTTATCGTTTATCATTGTTTTCTTTCATTGATTGAAAAATAAAAGGAAGCTTGTTACTCTTAATTTTTTGTTTTTGCATCAAATTCAACACTTTTCTTTTTTCCTTTGAAAAGTTTTTAAACTTCCCAAACAAGATTTTAAACATATGAATTTTAAATGTGAGATTGTAAATATGAGAGTATAAATCTAAAATTCACCAATTCAGATACTATTTTATAAAATATAAGAACACATTAATCTATAAGCTTTTACCTTATTCCAAGTTGTTTAGTGCATAATTCCAAGTTGCTTAGTTATTTTTTAATTTGTTGAACCAGGGAACATAGAAATATTCATATTCTATTACTTTAAATTTTATATATGAATTTTTATAAAATATTGTTTTATTTTCCTTGATTTAACAAATTAAAAAATATATTAATCTTATGGCTATGTTGTTGGAGCAATAATAAAAAAAATATAAATATATATATAATATAAAAAAATATAACCATCACAAATAGTAGAGAAGAACAAAACAAGAAAAGAAATGGGGGAGAAAAAAATAGAGGAGAATTTCTTATTCTCTTAGATGCATAACCTCTATTTGTAGGCATACAAGTATTAAAGTCTTACTCTAGTATTACAAAGAAATAAAGAGATATATGATGATGCATTATATATCCTTTGAAAGTTATAGGGTATTAACTATAATAAACTCTTTTTAAACTATTCATTAGAATATTAAAAATAGCATTAGCTATGGATACCCAAAATATAATATTTATAATAAATTATGAGTTATTACCATCAAATCTTGGTGACACAAGGTAAAAAAGAATGAGTAAGAAGGGAAAAAAACAAATAAAAAAGGGGAATAACAAGACCCTGTAAGGAGTATAAGGATCACAAGGTCATTAAATAAAAATGAAGTGATAGTTAAATTATTAATTTTATCTAAAAATATAATAAACTTTTAATTTTACCTCTATTTAAATTACTAATTAATGAATTTAAATATGAATAATATTAAAAAAAATGTAATTAATACCGCATAGTGTACTTTATATCCTTAAAAATACCCCTAGAAGTTATGAATTCTAAGTTTCTAACACATAAATATCCACTCCTTAAAAATTCATCTCTCTCCCCCCTTTATTTTTCATTCAGATGCATTTGGCATTTTAAAATGTCTTTTGGCGCAATGTCATTCCTGCATTTTTAAAATTGGTACAATATTATTCCCTGTTTTTAAAATTGGTATCCATGCATGCTAGGATATTTTTGACTATTTTCACATGTGCATTCTTCCTCCTTGTCTTCCTCATCTTCTTCGCTTTGCCATCGATTTCTCATGCCCAGACTACCACATTCGATTCATCATCATCATCTTCATTGTCACTATGCTCAACAATTCTCTCTATTTGTTTCTTCCTCACTCTCCCCGTCCTCACCATCACTCTCGTCATCATCCTCATTATCAAGCGCAAGCTCGAGATTCAACTTCTCACTGTCATACCCTTCATTTGACAATCCACTTGTTCTAGATATTTGATCGTCTTGATGTCAGATTCTAAGAAAAGCTCATACTGTAAATTGTTTTAATTGATATCGACGATTTGCCAGTTATATAGATATGCTTATTACTCCTTGAGTAGTGAGTAATAAAATAGGATAGGATCTTGCTGATGTACGATACCGAGAATCATCAATTTTTGTATGGGAAAGATGCAATTTTCTTTGATATTGCATCAATAATTTTCTATGTTCCTTATTTTTCATTCAAGTGAATGGGACAAGGGTTACAAGAAATGAACAAGATGATTATTTTGTAAAGCCAGTAACACGTAATCATGTATGAGTATGTTGATGATTAAAAAAAAGAAAGAAAGAAAGAAAAAGAAAAACGGAAATAAAGAAGAGATATGAAATAAAATAATGTAACCTTACTCAACAAGTAATTTCTTTTCCTACTCAAGCAAGAAGAAAACTTTATTAGGGCCAATTAGAGAACTCAAACAAGACAGAGGCGGAAAAAAGTACAAACACAACTAAAAAGACAACCATAACTTCGTCAAGAAGTAAATCATCCAGCCAGCACTAATATGCAATAAGAAGCACGTTCTATTGTAATTTTTATTTGGATAATTTGTAAATTTCTTTTCCTTCAACAAATATAAACTACGAAATAAACATAAGTTTTGTTTTAAAGAAATAGACTTTGAATGTTATTTACAGAGTTTTTATTGTAAATTTCATCTTGATAATTTGTAAAATTGTTCTTCTTCTTCTTCTTCAACAACTATAAACCACATGAATTACGTGAAATTAACTAACATTTTGTCATTAATAACTGGAATTTGAATGTTATTTGTGAAATTTTTGTTGTAAATACTGTTCAGGTGACCTGTACATTTCATCTACTTTAACAAGTGTAAACTACATGAACTAAGTGAAATGAATGGATGTTTTGTTATTAACAAATGGGCTTTAAATTTTATTCATAGATATTCTATTTGGTATTCACAATTCTATCTTTTTATCAAAAAACTTAATTTCAAAAAAGACTTTTAGTCTTATAGAATTATATGAAATTTTATAGGACCTTTAATAAAAATGTGTTGATTATATTCTATGGGCTTGCAATGAGATTCTCCTGGCAACTCAGTAAAGCTGTTTTTGTTTTCATTCTATGTTTTTTTTTAAAATTGCATTTTTATTACGCACTTGAGGACACACTCTCATTTTGCTTTAATAAATGGATGGCATAATAGTAATTATTGGCACAACTTTATGACTTTTAAAATCACACTTCTCGATCAGTTTCTCCGACGACTTTGTTTTAGTTTCTCTCGCGGTTCTCTTGGCGCCTCCGTCGCTGTCGTCACTCGCTCAACTAGCTCTCACTTTCGTGCTCCGGTGACGGTGAGGTATATTATCTCTTTTACTCTCACGCACTCTCTCCCAGCTTCGTCTTCGTCTCTTCATATCTAGGCATTCATCTGTCTTTTCCACCGAAAACAAGAAATGCTTTCTGTGACCTGGGAATTAGTTTCAAATATGAATTGGGGAATTTGAATCGTGTGCGGTCATCAAGATTGGTGTGGGTTGGGATTGCTATGGTTATGGTTTTGTTTCTAGGCTTAGAATCGTTTTAATTGTGTAACGAGTCTCATACTTATCAGGAATTAACTTTATCACGTGGGCCAATTTCTATGCACTCTCGATTGGTTATCCACTAAGCACCAACAATGAACACCGCAATACTAATACGTATAGAGTTTGATTGGATCCTCGAAAGTCATTTTGCTTTTTAGGTTTCAGAAGGCCGAAAAAATAAGATGATATTTTTGAATATTTTATAAGAACATATTTAAAATTTTATACACTTTTATTCATTTTATTTTTTTTGCATTGATATTAGTAAAGTTAGTAGGAATGATTCCATTTCTTGGGAGAATTGGTTCCATCAAAATTGGGGAACTAACTTTTTCATATTCATGGAACCCACTTCTTTTCTCACATTCTTCATACCAAACATATTTTTAAAACTTCATTTCCACCTCACTCACTTCTACTTGCAATTTGAAAATAGTGCTAGCTATTAGAAAATTACATAAAATGGCCTTAAATTTTTAGAAAAAATGTTCTATAAAAAATTAATATCAATTAAATTCCTAAAATAGTGTGATCATCTATAACTCTTCCTCCAAAATTTACAAATAGTATTATTTATAAATGAAGGCATTTTGTACTCTAGCTAGAAATTTTTAAAGAAATATTTGTAAATTTTGTTGGAAAACTTATAAATTAAACAATATTAATTTTTTTTAAGGTATTTATATGTTTTTTTGTCATTTTCTGTAATACACTATTTTCAAATTTTGAATGGGGAAATCACACCAAATCTAAATTTAGGACACTAGACACTCTCTAACAAATAGTTGAAGGGCAAAAATCTTCTTTAACCCATTTATTTATATTTTGTTTGAGTTGCCTCTGCGGGTATTTAATCAATAAAATTATTTTGTATTTCAAATTTTATCTTTTAATTTATGCCTGGACATCTATATCAACATTATTGTATCTACTGCTCCAATTGTCCGTTTAAAGTCCAATAAAATTATGTTGTATTTGGGGCTAATTGTCATTCTGATGGTAGATGGAAGAAACTGTCTCAAAGATGTGGCCTGAGTTAATAGCTAAAGCTTTTATAGATATTATGACTAAAACTCATTTGAGTGAGGCACTTGCAACATGGGCTGAAGCATGTAAGGCAAAAGCTGAGAGATATAAAGGTGAGATAAGTAAGGAGGCCACTTCGTCGGATTTTTCCCTTACCAAGTGTGTGATTGCCCTCAATGAGATGAAAGACGTCGATGAAGATAGTTATATGAAAGCCTTGAAAATCTTCAAAAAGGACCCTGAATGGAGAGAAATTTTTCTTGGCATGACACATCACCGGAAAAAGCAATGGCTATTTCGTGTTTTTTTGTGGAACGTTATGAGTCTTTATTTTGTTACTGAACTTTACAATTATGTCATTACACTTGTGAGTTTGTGTCGGAGATCGGATTGATGAGCCTTCATTATGTTATTGAACTCTATGGTTATGTCATTAAACTTATCAGTTTGTGGTTATTCTATTATGGAACTTCGTTAACAAATAATATTGTGTTTGGATTAGTGGAAGTTTGGATTTTTTGAAGATTACTTTTTAGCGGTGATGTGGCTCCTTGTGGGTAGGTAAAACAAACATTACTTTTTAGCGGCGATGAAAAAGTCACCGTTGATGTACAGTTTCTACAGCGACATTTATTACTGTTGATTCTCAACTTTCAATGGTGACTATCTTTCTATAGCAACAAATTTTCTTTTCTGCGATGACAAATGTTAACTTTCAGCAGCTACTTTTATTGCCACTGCAAATAGAATCAACAACAAGAGTTCTCACGGTAACATTGTGATTACCCACTTTCATGCATCAAATATGTTTTAAACTCCATTTTCACTTCACTTCCATTCTTACAAAGTGCAATTTTCTTCTTTAACATTTAAAAATAGTGCATTAAAAAAAATTTTAACTTTGACCATTAATTATTTAGAAAATTATAAAAATGGACATAAAAATTACAAGAAAATATCTAATAAAAAAATTAATATTAATTAAATCCTTAAAATAGTGCTATAATTTATAGCTCGTCTTCCAAAATTTACAAATAGTGTTATTTATAAATAAATGCATTTTTTACTCTAACTATAAATTTTTAAAGGTGGATTTATAAATTTTGGTAGAAGACTTATAAATTATCACATTATTAAATTTTTACATGGTACTTGTGTGTTTTTTTTTTGTTCTTTTCTATAATTTTTGAGTTTTTTTTTTTGCAATTTTTAAGTTAACTAAATATCAAAGTTAACTGATGCACCATTTTTGATCTTGAAATTACACCACACGTAAATTTAAGGCACTAGACTTTTCCAAACAAATAGTTGAGAAGTAAAAATGTCCTTTAACCCATGGATTTATTTCTATTTTGTTTGAGTTGCCTCCGTGAGTATTTAATCAATAAAATTATTTTAGATTTTGGATTTTATCTTTTTGTATATGTCTACACATCTATCTCAATATTTTCATATCTGTTATTCTAATTTTATGCTCTTATTGTCCTTTTAAAACCCAATAAACTTTTTTTTTGTATTAAGGGCTAATTTCGTTCTGATGGTAGATGGAAGAAACTGATTCAAAGATGTGGCCTGAGTTAACAGCCAAAGCTTCTGGCAAAAAAAAAAAAAAAAGTTAACAGCTAAAGATATCTTTGGCTAAAGCCCGAATGAGTGAAGCACTTGTTGCAGCATGTGCTGAAGCATACAAGACAAGAGCTGAGAGAAGCAAGGAGGCCACTTCTTCTTCGTCGGATTATTCTCTTGCAAAGTGTGTGACTGCTCTTGAGGAGATGGGGGACGACGCAGAATGTGGTTTTATGGAAGCCTTGAAAACTTTGAAGAGCGACCCTGAATGGAGAGAAATTTTTCTTACCCTGTCTTATGACAAGAAGAAGACATGGATACAATTTGTTGCAGTCAGTCTTTTGTGAGGTTTTTTTTTTTTTCTTTTGAGTTTTTATGTTGTTATTGAACTTTATGATTAGGCTATTAAACTTGTAAGTTTGGGCTGGTGAGGTTTTATGAGCCTTTATTCTGTTGTGAACTTTTATGGATATTATGTCATTAAACATGCAAGTTTGTGTCATTTATTTCTCTCACTGCTCTCTCTCCTTTTTTTTTTTTTAATGAGAAATGCAGCCCAGCCCAAAACCTAATTTGTTCAGCTATCAATAATCCAATGGTATGCACGCCCCCTAACATTTAAGATTAATTCTAAACTTAATAAGCCAGTCAACACACTCGTTATTATCTAAAAACATGCCTCACGATAATCTGACACTCGTCAGTTATAAGCCCAATAGCATGCCTCAGTTGCTCTATTGTGGAGTTGTTTTGATCAATCGCTTCACGCCAAATATCTGAAACCTTAGGAGAAGTTTGGCAAAGTTGAAATCCTTTGCCACTTGTATCCCATAAAAGACACTCCACAACTCAGCTTTAAGAGCACTGCACAAACCCATAGTTGCAAGCAAATCTTCCCATCCATTTTCTTTCTAAACATCCCTCCATACTAGAGTCGAAAAAACAGATTGAGCCTGCAAGCTAATCAGTTTAACCCGCGCAATTTGATGAGTTGGGTTGAAGAAATTGGCCCGTTTTTTAAAACAGGCTGGGTTAGACCAACCCGCAAAATTAGCTAGCTAAAACAGGCTAGCCCGTGGGCTAGCATATTTTAAAAAATAAATTTTTATTTTTTAATTACATTATATCTTTTTATAAATTTACAATAATGATAATATTTTTTAAATATATAATTTATGACTCTCAAATATGTTCTTTATATTTGAAATATAGTGTAAATTCTTTTTACAATTTATGAATAAAATTTTTGTTATAGTTTGTGAAGATGATTTATTAGTTTTTATAGAAATATTTTGAATATATATTATTTATTAATTTCAAAAGATCTACTGATTGAAATTATAGATATGAATTCACTGAGAAAAATAATATGGGTTTATATTCAAATTTTCTTTCTCAGTGACAAAGATAGCACACCTAGGCGAGAAGATGATTGATAGTAAAAATCTAGCAAAATGAATTTGTTTGGTTGAATTCTATGTTTATTTTATTTATTTACAAGTTTTTAATTGCTAATTTGTTTTAAAATATGAAATAAATATATATTTATATTATATAAATTTTAAATTATTAAAAAAATTCAGATAATTTTTTGCGGGCTGGCTCGCCCACTAAAAAATGAGTTGGGTTGGATTTTCCAACCCGTTTTATTTTGCAGGCTGGCCTAACCTAATCCGCAAAAATGTCAACCTGTGTGAGCTAGCCCGCAAGTTGGCCCGTAATTTGTTTGCCTAGTGCTACTCCATACCATGCTCTACCTGAGCTATCTCTTGGTCCTTCATCCGTTTAGATAGAAAGAAAAGTTGAGAGTAAACAACATAGGAGATAAAATAGAGAGAAAAGAAAAAAAGGGTAAAAAAATATCACATGACCATAATACCCTTATGTCAAAATATATCATATACATAATTATCTTTATAAAATTAAATTGAAAACAAAAATATATTAAAATTAACATCACCATACTTATCTTCATTCTCGAACTTCGTCACTTGTGATGGTTTATTTTGAGGAATGAACTTTATCACGTGGGTCATTTCTATGCACTCTCGATTTATTTATCCATTAAGCACTAACAGTGAACAGTATGATTTGTATAGGGTTTGATCGGACCCGTAATTAAGTAATTGTTGGTGATGACAAAAAGATTTTGATACTTCACATCGTGCAAGTCCGTTATTAGTCATTAGTAATCTTAATGTTATGTGATGGTTATGACAACGTAATATACGCTTGTTTTCGTACTATAAAATATAAGTGTCTTAATGAAAAATAAGCTCGTTATACTTCTGCTACTCATTTTTATGCAAAAACACTGATATTTTATGATGCTGCTAGCTAGGACTTAGGATTATGTACTTCCTTCCGCTGTAAGTCTTTTTGTATTCTTCTCTATATGTAGATCTGAGCTTTTCTGTCCTGTTTTTTTTTTTTTCATTTTCTGTCATTTCTCTGTTTGGATCTTGCCTTTCTCTGGTTTTTTTTTTTTTTTGTTTGGCTGATATTATAATGGATTTTGGGATTCTTGTTTCTTTATCCAGTCTTCTCTATATGGGTATAAGATTTTGTTTCGGATGTGTACGTCTCTGAGATTATAATATTAATATGCGTTAATAATCGTGGCGAAATCTTGTAGAAGATAATCACATTTTTAAACCGATTTATTCTACAGATTACTTGCGTATAGCTTTGATTTTCCCACATTTATAAATATAATTGGAGGCTAGTTGGCCTAGCTATCAGACATTAAGGTAGGAATTGGAGGCCTTTTTTTTTTTTTTTGGCCAAAATTGGAGGCCTTGATGTAGCCTGATGAATATGATGTTATGTTCTTATATAGTAAATCTACTTGAAATTATTTAATGAGATCAGGTGTAAAAGGATATTATTTAAATCCTCTAACTGTAATTTTTTTGTGAAGTTTTTCATTGTAAGGAAGAAGAAAAAATTATATTTAATAAAAATAACAAAATTATAAAAATAATAAAAAAAGAAATTTCATTAAAATTTACAGATCTTAGTTTCAGATAATTTAAATCCGTGTACAAAATCCTTTCTTTACTCCCTTAAATATCCAGGCTAGTTGTTTTCATGGCTCGGTACATGTAATTGCTTCCAACTGTAGAATTCAAACAGGATAATTTACTATCGATTATATGATATTTCAATGTGTTGACCCCAACAATCTCTAATTTAATTTTGAACAGTTTGAAGGAAAGCTTTGGTTGCTTTTCAATTACTATGGCTGCATATGAATTTGTTCTTCTTTAATGTTGTGTTTGGAATGAGAATTTAGATTTAGATTTGGATCTAAATCAAACCCTTCATTTGGATATATAAAATTTATAAAAAATTATTTTCTTATTATATTTCCTTTATAATTTAATTTTATTTATATTCTAGTTACTTGAAATTTCAGTCACTTCAAACCCCCTTATTCTCTTCATATTTTTACTATTAATATCTTTATGGCTTTTATTTTTTTCTTATCTCTTGTCCTCTTTTCTCATTAACTGAAAAATAGAGGTAAACTCATCTCTTTTTTTCATATAATTAAAAAAAAAAAACTACCCAAATGAAGGGGTTTAAATACATGAATTTTGAATTTGAAATTCAAATTCAAATCCATCAATCAAAATGCTACCTTAAAAAAAGTACTCGAGTTATTTTTGTTTCTATTTCCTTATGAATTTATTTCACTACTATAGAAAAGATATTTAATAGTATACATTTTGTAACAATAAAAATTAAAACGTCACTAAATTAAAAGTAAAATAAAGAGGTGGTGTTTCTATATCAAATACCACTGCTCATAAATTACTTTTTTATTTATAATTTTAATAAATAACAAGAGGTGGCGTTTTAAGCATGGTGAAACGCCACCATCTCTACTCCATTAAATAATTATCTAATTATAGATTATTTAATTAGTATAAATTTTTAATATATATATTATTTAATAATTAAAAGTCAAAGAAGTGAGTTTTCTAAACTTAAAAATGCCACCTCTCTAGTTTATTATTAATTTATTTTTTTATTTTATCTAATTAAATAATTATTTTATTATAATTTATTTATTAATAATTTTAATAAGTACATCATACCATTTAACAAATAAAGCCTAGGGAATTGGTGGCGTTTTGCTGAGTTTAAAAAGTCATCTTTATAGTTTATTATTAATTTAGTATTTTATTATTAATTTAGTATTTTATTTTATCAAATTAAATAATATTTTATATTATATATTTAATTAGAATTTATAAGTATTATATATTAATATTTAATAAATTAATAAATTGAGAAAGAGGTGGCGTTTCCAAAGCTGGGAAACGCCACCTCTCCGATTTTGTATTTTTAATTTTTAAAAAATTTAAAATAATTAGGTTATTTTTTAGTACCTTATTAAAAATATATATTATTATTTAATAATTAAAAAGTAGAGAGTGACATATCTTAATCCCTCTACTCTATTATTAAT